GGGGAAGGGGGTTGCGGGCCAAACTGACGACCATGACACCAGGACGGGGGAAGGGGGAAGGAGGTTGCGGGCCAAACTGACGACCATGACACCAGGACGGAGGACGGGGGAAGGGGGAAAGGGGTTGCGGGCCAAACTGACGACCATGACACCAGGACGAGGGCGGGGGAAGGGGGCCAGGGAAGACAACCAGAAAGTGTGGGGCTAACAAAGGACCAATCAGATGTTGGATAATACAGGCAACCATCAGAGCTACCATTAAAAATACCACACTAGCTAACTAACTATTTAATAGACTGTCTACCCCCTCGACCTTCTTAATGTACGACTTCAGGTACGTAGCCTGGTACACGCATCCGTGGCCTGGTGTCCCGAAGTGTGTAGCACACGATTTACAGCACACGATTTACGGTTACGCACACTACCCGAGTTCTCCGATAGACGGGTTTACCCGAGTTCGCCGATAGACGGGTTTACCCGAGTTCGCCGATAGACGGGTTTACCCGAGTTCGCCGATAGACGGGTTTAGAGAGGAATGCCGACAGCTTGCTCGGGTTTGAAAGCGATGACATTTCCTTGTTCGTCACGGTGGACGGGAAGGTGTTCCAGTTGTCCGATCTTGCATAGCTCGGGGTTGAGTTTAAGGACGAGTGAATTCCACTGTGCTTTCGAGAGACTGTCAACACGCTTTAGTCTGGTATCACCCCTGTTAGTGACAATGTAGCCACTAACAAGTTTAGGCACGACAACATCGACGACGTGCATTTCGGGTTCGACGACGGTGCAATTGATCATGGCAGTGGGTTCGGGGTCAAAGGAGACGCGAGGTTTGTACTTTTGTGCGACGGCACAGTACTGTTCCGAATCCAAATAATTGGGAACGAAATTCCTCACCTCCACAGTGTACGGCTTTGGCACTTCCACCACCTCATCCGTCACCACCTTCTTGAACTCTACAACCTCCTTCACTACCTCCTTACGCACCGTACGCACTACTTCCACCGGTCGCTCCAAGATCTTCTTCACTTTTTTGTACACGATCCGCTCTTCCACAAACGGGACCTCCGCCTCCTTCACCACTGCCTGCGCATATGCGTCACCGGCCCAATGGCGGCACTCTGGCTTCTGGTCCGTCACCGTAGGTGGCGGGACGACACTCAAACCAGTATCCACTGACTCCACCTTGGTCAGATACGGATGCTCAAATCTACCAGCCGCAGGCCCCGACATCGGCTCCACTGCCGACTTAGGCTCCACTGCAGCGCTTACGATCGTACTCGCGACGGGACTCACCATCGCAGTCGAGTCAGACCCAACCGCCGTCGAATCCGTCACAGAATGCAGCGAATCCTTACTCTGCACGGAGTCCTTGCCTAGCATCAAATTTTTTTTTCACCGGCCCCGGAAGCCGACTTCCCGGCCAGCCCACCGACAATCGGGGCCACTTTCACGGCCCACCGACAGTAGGGCCGATAAGATAACCCCCAAGCGCCAATCGGGCCAATAACCCGCGCCAACCGAGCTACCAGAGAACTGAACTTCCCGGAACTGGACTTACTGGAACCTCCGGCCTTCGGGCTCATGAGCTTCGGGCTCGGGCCTTATATAAAACGTACAGTCTTCCATTACAAGTAAAAACCACTTCCTGTACGTACGGAGTAACCTCTTTTCCGCTCCTGGGTAATCTCGTTTCTGCCCCTCGCCACAATATCGACCACGTGAGGCCAAGCGCTCAACACCAAGCACTTTAAGCGGATCCAATTTATTTCTTGACCGGTTTTTTATCCTTTCCTTTCTCTTGCTCATCTAACTTGGCCGCCAGCTCGGCCACCTTGCCCACGGGCTTCGCTTTGGGCGCAGCCTTCGCTTTCTGCGCCTCTTCGAACTTTTTGCGCAGCTCACTTACGGCAGACATGGGCGCACGCAGATATTTTGTGGGACAACAGAAATGTGAAGTTTTCCCGTGTCCGTCGACTACTCGATGCGATACCCTGTCAGTTCCACGTAGTTTCGGTACGCTTAGCTAGCGAGTACTACCTTGTACAGTGCAGAGTCCGAATAGTGGATGCAACAAACATCTTGACCCTTTTTGCAGGCACCTCGGTTGCAACCAGACCCCCCGACTAGCGTGATCCTCCGTGCGATTACGCGATCCACCACACCGTATTTTTTTGCCTCGCGCTCAACGGACTTAAGGCGCACACGTGTGTGCTGGCATGCCTCTGTCCTCAATCAAGACCGAAGAAGAATATCGAGGCCTTAAGGAGCATGGTGGGAACGTAGTTTTGGTTTTTTGGTCTCCTAGCCATCGTGTCTGTGAATTTTTGGCTGAGACTGCGAATGAGTGGAAGACGAAGTTTAACAATGTCAACATAGCATTGTTGGACTGCAGTTGGTTGCCTGACATGTAAGACTGAGGGCTGCGTTATATGAGTTCGAGATCGTCGCGAATGGACGCGAATAGCGCGGGAAATAGCGGAGGCGCGTAGTTGCAGGCAAGGCATCATTTTTTTAGTGGTACATTGGAGCAAGTCATCTCATACCCAACGTTTAAATTCTATAAACAAAACGAGCTGATACAATGCCTATGTTCCTCGCAACGGGAATTGATTGAATTTTACATTATGAATGTATTCTAAGGAAAATTTGGACGAATGGAGACGTCGTCATGGCTGCTGGATGTACCGATGTGCCACCTGCACCCGAAGCCTTTGCTGTCTTGCAAGTTCTGTCGCAAGTATAAAACCGCTGTACACCAGCAAGCGAAGCTCGCCCAACTGCACGAACGGGCCGGTTTCGGGCATGAGAAAACAAATACTCTGGAAATGTAAGACCTAACCCTTCCCTGGACATATGGCTAACCTTTCCCTGGACATATGGCTCTTTCAGGACCAATACTACCTCATATAATCTCAACCCAATGTTGAAAGAGAATATCCTCGTGTCCGAATATTACAAGTCATTATAGTAGGTACCCCCAGCTAAGTACCCTCAGCTCCTGGTTCCGCTACTGATAGGCTTCGGCTTCTTACTCGCCCGAATGGTCCTGGGTTCCCCGAATGGCCCTGGATTCCCCGAGTGGTCCTGGGTTCCCCGAATGGTCCTGGGTTCCCCGAATGGTCCTGGATTCCCCGAGTGGTCCTGGGTTCCCCGAATGGTCCTGGGTTCCCCGAGTGGTCCTGGGTTCCCCGAATGGTCCTGGATTCCCCGAGTGATCCTGGGTTCCCCGAATGGTCATGGGTTCCCCGAATGGTTCTGGCTTCCCTACCATGCAATATGTTTTAGTCAGTTTACTACTGTTCCAGAATTGATAGACGAAGTAGTGCAGTATGTGGACCACGTGGAGCCACACGTCACGGGCCACCTCAAAATACCCTCAACGTTTGCCTGTTGCCTATACAAGTTGTTCAACTTGCGCTGTACAGAGGACGAAATGCTGACCATCACGGAGCACCCCAACTTATTCGTGCGGACACTGGGCTTTGTGTGGCTCCGGTTTGTGCATCCGCCGGAGAAGCTGTGGCAGTGGTTCGAGACGGTGGTGCTGGACGACACGGATTTCCGACCTACCAAGAACCAAACCACAACGTTTGGCGAGTTTGCGGAGTCGCTCCTCAAGGAAGACAGATACTTCAATACACCGCTGCCTAGACTGCCAGCGAAGATTAGAACACAGTGTAGCCTCCAGCTCCAACCACTGCCGAAACACCGCTGGCGCAAACAAAAAAACCTCACCCAACTCAAACGCTTCCGGCCTGGCTCCACCGAAGTATTTGCCTGCTTCAAAGGCTCCTGGATGCCAGGCACCTTCGTTGAATTCTACCAAGACGAAACCCTTTCAAAGCCACTCGCCATGATCAAATTCGACGACACAGAAGACGTGCCAATCGATCTTGGACTCGTCATCATACCCAGCCGCCGACGCAAGAAAACGGATAGATTTTTCCACACGGAAAATTTAGCACGCAATGACTGTGACTAACGTAAACTCCACCGAACGTAAGACAATATTATTTCAGAGAAAGAGGTTAACATTATTTCAGAGTACAAGAATCTGTTGAGCACCAACAAGTTCGTGGTCGTGGACTTCGCGGCGGAGTGGTGCGGTCCATGCAAACTTCTCAAGCCCGTCTTCGACCAGTTGGCTGAGAAACACACCAACGTCGTGTTCGCTTCTGTCGATGTGGACCAACTGGAGGAGGTCGCCGATACTGAAAGCATCCAGGCCATGCCCACCATCAAGCTCTTCGCCAACGGAACCTGTGTGGAAACGGTCGTGGGTGCCAACAAGGACAACATGGTTGCCGCCGTCGCTAAGCTCAGCGAACAGGCGTCTGGCTAAAGGCCTACGCTTGCAGGACCTTCCTAATGCCGGCCTGGGCGCCGGGCTTAAGTCTCTTCTTAAACGGTTCGATAGCTTCATGAGAAATACTAGACATATTTTCACCGAACTCGTTCTCCACATTCCGCAGAAAATCGTCGCAATCATCCGTGCCCTCAGGATCTGCCAATTCAGCTTCCTTCGCTTGCGCGGGCTCGTCGGGCTCTGCAGTTAAGGGCTCGAAGGCCTCCATGATGCACGGGCACGGCGCGTCAGCCAGGGCCACAGGGCACGGCTCGCCAGGGCTCGCTGCAGCAGCCAGCTGCTGCGGCGTGGCCTTGCTCCGCGGAGTGTAGCCAGGCGGGCAGTCTTCCAGGTCCATGAGATGCTTCGCGTTCGCTTCTCGCAACTGCAGCCGATCTTTGGCGTTGGCTTTCTTCAGCGCCGAATCAGTTTTCGATACTGACTGTGTTGCATCTGACAGAACGCCACCGATCTCTTTCTTCAGATTCGGGTCCTCCCCTTCCCCCCTAAAGTCGTCCAGAGTTTCCGGCCCAAGGTCTGAAAGCTGGTCTGCATCGTCCACGCTATCAAGCACGTTGTCCATTGCGTCCGACGAACTTTCTCGTCGCGCCTCTCCCGACAACTCTTGCCGACGTGTCAACAACCTATCTGTCATTTGTATGTTATGCTCCGAATTATATTTAGAAGCGGACAACGCATCTCCCGCCGCATCTTTCCCAGATCTCCTCGCTTCGTCTCTCTCCACTATATTGTCCGATTCCTCCTCTTCTGCAGACCCTTTGATTGCGTCATTAGAATCCAAAGCGGACCCCATGAGGTTTTCAGTTTCAGCAACCTTTTGGCTCTTGTCCTTGTTGCTGAGGCGCTGAATGCTAGTAGGTTTGGCCTTTTCATTATCTTACGTTGAACGATTCCGCCATTTGTTTCATGCTATCCGCCATATCCTTTTGGTACTGAGAAGACATTGAGCCATTGTCCCAAGGCATGGATGCCGGCTTTATTCCAATGCTGACTCCAGAATCATCGTGTTCGTCTTCTTGACCTAGTGAAAGAAGGAATAAACACAAATAGCGCATCTTGCGCACGCGTGTGCTATGCTCTACGGAGCAACAATTAAAGAGTTGGGCGCAAAAATGGCCTAAAGGGACCAGTCAGGAGCCAGTTTCATGTTGATTGGTTCAAACTCATGTACATCCAGGGCACTTTCGATAAGGTGACACAGAGCATCGCGCTCCTCTTTCTTGGAGAAAATAAATACTAGTGAGCGTTTGCTCTTGGCGTTTAGGTCGGTGAGCCGTTTCAGGACTGAAATGCATGATATGATATACGGAAAATAGCTTACATCGTCGGCGGCGTCGGGACTTTCTGAATTTGTCGCTTGTCCAAATCACGGCATGAGGAACCTCGTCGAGCTGCTGGATTGTGTTGATAAGTGCAGAATCTTGACTGTTACGCATGAGATATTCCATCGCGCCCGGTTGGCAGTTGATTTCAGCAAAGAATCCAAGATGGAGGAAGAGGGAGTGAATATCGCCTTGTTTGTTGCGCACAATGTACAGGCGACCAGTGGCGGGGTGGAAGAAGAGTCTGACGGGTTTAAGCATTCCGCTATTCTGCTTAACAAAGCAGTAAGCGTCGACTCCCGACCCGAAATGTTTTACAATGGGTTGCTCGACCTTGAGCCACTGGGCCGCAGTCTGAATCTCTTGTTCGGACAAGGCGAACTTCTGGGACTCAGCTCTGAGCGCTTCAACGTTGCCGCTTGCTCGTTCAATTTCGACCTTGGCATGTTTAGTCACACTAGCTGTGACGGTCTTCTTATTAGCCGCAGCGGGTACCAGAGCCTCTTCCTCCTCTTCCTCCTCTTCTTCCTCCTCTTCCTCTTCCTCTTCCTCCTCATCCTCGTACTCTTCCTCCTCCTCCTCTTCCTCCTCCTCCTCCTCCCCTTCCTCTCCTTCGTCCTCAATCAACTCTTCGGGTTCCTCCTCCTCTTCCTCCGCTTCCTCCTCATCTCCCAGTTCTGCCTCGTCCTCAGTCGCTTCGGCCTGCTTCTCAACCGCGACTTCCTCGCCACCTCGGACGGGCGACGGCGACACTGCCTTCCGAACGCTAGGTGGAACCACTTTGTCCGCTTGCTCCTCCCAAAGGTTGAACCTTGCGGCTAATTCGGAAACCTTGTTCGCCTTCTCCTTCTCCTCATGGGTCTTAGGCTCGTCCTTGTCCTCAAAGATCCGTGCCAGGTCTTTGACATTCGACATTGTCGGCACAGCCCACTGATTGATGCATGCATCCCATTTCCCAACTCGGACCCGATTCGAATCGACTTGGACGCTCCGCGCCAGTATCACTGCGTTGCTCTCGAGATGCCTGCCGCGGTCTCTAGGTAAAAAGTTTAGTCGTCGGTTCCGCCGAAATAGTCTGCCTCCTTCGGCTCAAGGTTGTCACCATACCCAATCGCCATGTCGGCACACAAGAGAACGTGATCTATGGATTCTTCATCCTCTATGTTCATGCAGCAATACGAAACGAGCGAATAGGAATCAATCTAAAAGGGCGATTTCTCCATCCCGTGGATTCCGACCCTGCATCCCACCCCCTGCATCTCATAAAGTCCCATGCCCTCCCTGCATTGGAGTCCAAGCCCCTGATGGTGAGGGTATGGGAGCCCTGACGGTGGGAGGGTCTTACGACGGATATGAGTCCTTTGACGAACTGTTTGAATTTAGCAGGCAGTCCTTCTTGAAATCCGTCCATGAGTTCTTCAGGGGATTTGTCGAGTAGGTTGTCAACTCGTTCTTGATCTTCGCGAGAGAGGAGGTCGTACTTGGTGAGCACGTTGATATGGGGAATTTCGAGCATGACCATGGCGGATAGGGCAGTCATGGTGCCGGCGACGAACTTGGTGACGTCGGCGACGAAGCTGACGTCAAGGCAATAAACGGCGATGGTTCGGTAGTCGAAGTTGTCGAGTATTTTGAGGAACTCACGCATTACCGGGTTGTGGACGTATAGTTCGATTTGACCGGGGCAGTCAACGAGTATGAAATCATCATCACTGAAGGTGTCAAAGATCTCCTCCAGCCAGTCAAGTTTCTTGAGCAAGTACTCCATCGAAAACATCAACGCCCCATTCGGCCCGAAGTTAAAGTGCTCCATCACCTCCTCCACTTTAACCAGCTCCCGCACGTCCACCGTACACTCATATTTAAACGCCTCCGCCGCCGGGTCCAGGTTTATAACACGACACACGCGTTTGCGCGCAGTGCAGGCCTCCTGTATTATATGACAGTATGTGCTTTTCCCGCAACCCGCCGGGCCCACCACCAATTGGGCGAATTTCATGCAGAAAAACAACACCCCGAGAGGGTTCTCTTCCCGGGGGGAACCTTCTTTTCTCGAGAACCTTCTCCCCCCGACAAGGTTCTCCCCCCCCGGAAAGAACTTTCGGAAAGAATCTTCTGTTAGTCGAGGACCAGAAGCGACTTTCCGGCCCAGATGGCGAGGACGTTGTTAACTGGGTTATGTGCGAGGTGGGTGGCGGCATGCGAGAGTTGTTGGGTGGCATGGACTTGGTTGGTTTCTGGGTCGATGGCGAGAAGGGTGCGGTTTTGAATTAGGACCATTAGCCAGTTGCCCTGGGGACAGGCGGCGAGTACCCGGTCATCTTCATGTTCGCAGGAGTAAACATGGAGTGGGAGGCCTTGGGTTGTGGCGAGACAGCAGGCATTGCCGGGGGTGGAGATGTAGAAGGCATGGTCTATATGGGGATGCGGGTAGAGGGCGGTGACTGCGCGATTGCTGCTTGGAGGTGTGGGGACATTGAATTTCTTGATGAGCGCGCCACTTTTGAGAGCAAAGACCCGGACGAGGGAGTCGGTGCAACCGGTGATGACGAATTTGCCACTGAATATGGCTGCGGTGACGAACCCCTCGTGTCCCGTGAAGGCGAGACTGGTGGTTGCGGAGCGAATCTGTAGGATCTTGGCCGTCCCGTCATTACTGGCGGTTAAGAGTACAGGTTGGTTTTTGGGATGGTATTCAATACTATTGATTGCGTGTGTGTGCGCACACACTATTTTCTGGCCTAGACGTCCGTTCTCTACCTGCCATAGCTTCACATTACCTTTCTCATCACCCGAAGCCAGAATGAGACCGTCCGGACTGAATTTGAGGGCCGTAATCCGGATGCCCTGACCGTTCAAGCTATGCTCCCAAACCAACTGGGTCGTCCACCCCAATTCCTCACGTAACTTTCCAGTCTTCCACAAATACAACTCGATCCGACCATTCACCATACCCACCGCCAGCGTCCGGCCATCGGGCGAGAAACTCACGGACGTCACTTCAGATTGGAATGATATATCGCACAACGGAGACATCGGGGGATATCCACCCCCTTCACCTTTCATCGATCGACAAAGATCATACGCACCCTCATCAACGCCACCCCTCTTCAAAGACTCACCAATTATACTCAACAACCGACTCGCAGGCATCTCCTCTAAATAACCCGCCACCTTCTCCGCCAGCACCCGACGCTGGGTCACAAAATCCTCTGGACGCATCTCCTTAGCTACCCGCTGCATTCCCGCCTTCTCCTCCTCCGAGAATTTTCTCAACCCATTTGACTTCGACAGTAATTCTTCGTATCCCTCCATATCATCACTTGATAATAATTCCAGACACACGTGTGTTAAAACATCAGTCACCAAACCCTCAGGGAGATTTGCCTTACCACATACGTCTATGAGCTTCGGCACATCGCCCCTCCCCACATCCTCGATAAACTGGGACTTACTGGCCACAATTCCGTAACCTATTCCAGAATCCAGTTGAAGAGCATCAAAAGCTCGCTCGAATCGTTGCTCATATAAGAACTGGAGCACTATCCGTATAACACTGAAATAAGCATAGTGAAGGTGACTCGTGAACGTACAACCGCGAGCCACTCTGACTCTGCGGCGGGGACGACAACATCCGCACCGGATTGAGCCCAACATTTGTTGGGGATTACTGGTAGTGTGCCTACTCTGTTCCCTTGATATCTGTTTCCCGAGCAGCATTGTCCTTAGTACCGCTTGTGGTTAGTTTTTTTATGTTCATTAAATTCCCTCCGGAAGTGGTTGGACGTACCCCGAAAATTGTCGTGCTGAAGCGGTATGATTTTTGTGGTGTGAAGGATGGGAACACAGGCTGACAACAAAGCCTGGGAAGACGAGGCCATGCTAATAACTTTGGTCAAGTATTTGAGTTAAGTATGTGGTTAAGTGTGTGGTTAAGTGTGTGGTGAAGTGTGTGGTCAGAATATAAGTCTTTTCGCGAGTACTGAAATGCCGCATTCCTCAAAGTCTGTTTTGGAGATCCAGTAGGCATCGAAGGAGCTAAGATGGCCGACCATGCTAGCACCGATCCAGGTTGTCATGGGCATTTCAAAGGGTGCTAATGAGGCGACTTTCAGTTTGAGATTGGAAAGATCTTTTATTGCTCCAGCAACTTGGCATGACTTGAGACTTGCCAGGTCCCTACCTAGCCTATCTACTAAGCCTGGCATTGCACAGAACCCCCCGCTAAGGACTACATTATGGAGCAGCGGGGGTACGACCTCCACATCACAACCAAACGCGCAATTCACGACCGCTTGTGGTAGACCAGTCCACTTGGTCAACTGACCTTGAAGCTTGGCATCCACCAGACCCGATAGCATTTTATGTAGCTGCGAGTCCTCAGGTCGGAATATAAACTCCGTTAGATTTTCAACCCGTTCCTTCGCTATATATAACGTCTTACCATCAGGCAACTCGTACGCATGGTCTTCTTCCTCCTCGTCTTCTTCGCGACTCTGAACCAACACGCTACTCGGGTCCTGGACTGCCATCACATGTAGCGCCATGTCCTCTACCACACTCCGCCTGGCCATGTTTAGGTATCGCGTATTTATTGTAGACTCCAACCCCACCACTGGGGCAGACCCTATTGGGGTGGAGCCCATTGGGATTGGGGTCTTCCAGGGGTTAAAGGTGGAGAGATAGTGTCCATCCGACCAAAGTCCGACGATCTCGGCGAGGGCCAGTTGCAGAAGATCCGCACTCACAGCGTACTTGTGCGAGTTCTGTTGCAGCGCGTAGCCTTCAAAGACCGGCGTAAGTCGCAATTCGCTGGGCCCGCCTTCTACGACTAGTGCGGTGGGTCTGCCCAGGGCAAAGGCTGCAAGTGGTGCTTTTCGCATACTAAAGTAACTTGCAACCCCAAATTCTTCGAAAGCCAGCTCCGCCACGACGGAGCTGAACACCGATCGCTTGTCCGAGGGCTCCGTCACAAACAACTGACCTCCATCCAGACTCAGGTGCTGCCTTTTGTACTCCGCCGATGCCGCCTCGCTTGCCAGCTGCCAGTCCTCACTCTCACTACTACCCGCATTGGGTAGCACTTCTGACTCTTCAATCATCGCCGTGTCGGCGGCGGCGGCGGCGGCTCCCGCCACCTCGGGTTCCACCGCCATCGCCGACGTCCTGGCTGAATCCTGACCCGACGAGGACTGCACCTTCCGTGCTTCTCGAATGGGCGGCGGCTTAATCAGATAAAAGTTGTCCACAGCCCGCAAGCACTCCCGTAAAGACGTTTGACAGACACCGTTCTGAGTCAATGGTTTCAAACCGTCAAACTCCGATAACGCACTGCTCGTCACGTTACTCACCAACGCGTGTGGCACACACGCGTTTCTGGAAGACCAAAACTCGCTAGCACTCTCGTCCCAACGTTTCCGCGCCATATCATAGCACCAACATGACCTCCACTTCTGGTTCGGAAGATCCTCGCCTACAAAGACCAGATGTGTACCACGGTTACAAACGGCAGGTGGACAAGTCGCGGCAACGACCAGGTGGACAAGTCGCGGCAACGACCAGGCGTGGTGACAAGTGGTTGTAGTGCGGAATTCTCCTTACCGGCGAATCCCCAGTAGGTGTTGGCAGCGCCTACGTCGAGTACGTATATATTCGGGTTTTTGATGGGATAGGTCGGAGCAGTGCCGGTAGGGGGGAGCATTAAATCTTTTTGCAAGAGGCCGAGGCCCTGGGCACGGAAACCATGTACATATATGGCCCCGTCGGGGGCGCGAGTGCGTGGTGTCCAGTGCCAGTAGGCGTTGCCGGCTTTGGAAATATTGCAAGTCATTGCACGCGCGTGTGCACGCGTGCGCGATTGTGCTATGCGTGAAGAAAAGAGTCGAGCGGAAAAACTTAGAAGGATTCGGTGAAGGGGAGTGGGCTGAAGTCGATAATCTCAACAGCGCCGATAGTCTTGGGTCCAGAAGGTCCTTCGGGTTGGCGCTTTAGACAAATGGGTTCCTTGACGCCCTGAGCGGCGCGTTCGCGGTGGATTCGGTCGTTTTCGGCGCGGCGTTTGTTAAATTCCTCCTGGCAGCGGGACTTCTGGACATGCTCCCTTCGTACATGGATGCGCTTCACAACCTGCTTGTTGCCTACGGTCTTGATGACTTCCACACCCAGAGCGTTCTTGGTCACGTCGTACACACGACCAATACGACCATGGTAATAACTATGAGGCATACCCTTCTGGATAGCACCATTGCCCTTAATCAGCACGTACTCACCCCGCCTGAACGTAGTCAGGTACGTCGTCAGGTTGGGCATACCATGACCGCGGAAAGGCCTAGCGAACTTGTAACGCGTGCCAGAGCGGTAACCGTACGAGTGAGTCATCTAGGCCGATATTATTTTACTTCCCAAAACTTTCCACCAATTCCGTCATGTCCCTGGCACTCCAATTGACACACACCACTACCATCACTACCATCACTACAGCATCCACTACATTCAATAACAAGTAACTTGTAATTGTCTGCATCATCTTCTACACATCTTCTACACACATTCCGCTCTTACCAGAATATCTACGCAACAAATTACCCCAACCCCCGTGAGTCCCACTTGGGTCTACCTGTCAACCCACTTCACCCACATGGGTCCTTCGCTGGTCGCCACCTCACCCACTTGGTTCTTCCGGAGCAGCTTAGCGGTTTACCGGTCTGGCGACAACCTGGCGGTGTCTTTCTAAATCCCAAAACAAGCATACTCAACCCGACTCCATCTTTAACCTTTGAATCCATCTTTAACCTTTGAATGCATCTTTAAGCTTTGAATGCATCTTTAACCTTTGAATCCATCTTCAATCTCTTTTCCGCTCCTTTTGGTTTCTTGGTTGTGTTGGAGTGTTGGTGAGTGGTCGCATTTCGGGGATGGTCCATTTCGGTAAAATGTTTCCGCTGCTGTTGCTGGCGTGGGTTGCGGGTGCCTATGAGTACCCGAACTATTGTTCGAAAGTGGGTGACGAAGACTTTGTGCAAGCTCGGACGATCCCCGAATTG